TAACTTCTTGTAGAGTAACATAAGCATGTATAGGTTTTAACAAACTACTAATTAAATTGCGTACACACATTAACAGAATAGGAATACAGATACATAACAAAAGCAGACCTACAATTACCAGCCATATCCAGTGAAACCAAGAAAACCAGTTAGGTACCCTAGGCATTTGTGAAAACTTATCAATAATATGATGGATATTGTCTAACTGAATTTGAATAGTTTGATTTGTTTATAATTATTAATGTTATTGTTTAGAAATATTAATGTTAATTAGAAGTATTCCAAATAAATAATAAAGGACCCAACCATTAGCATCAGGTGTTTACATACCTCAGCCATGGTCTCACCTCCTCCAGGAAGCCCTCCCTGACCACCCCACCCAGTAGCACCTAGACCCTCTACACCCTTCCCTTGTGCCCTTTTCCCATTGATCATTATAAATGCATTTGGTGGTCTCATTTAAGTCCTGTCTCCCCCGCCGGACTTGAACTCGGTCTTGGCCATTACTTTTTCCACAGGACCTGCCATGGTGGCCAGCACTGGCAATGATCAGTAACTATTTGTTGCATGACCTAACAGGGACAGGGTGGCCTGAGATGCCTTTGCCCCTCCCTCTGGGACCCATCTGCCTTCACAGTGCTGGGGAATGGCTGGGAGTGGGTGAGGTTTGCCCCGAATAGCCGGGTGGTGTGTGTGTCTGTTTCCTTACCTGCAGACCGAGGGCTGTTGTCAGGTAAAGTGTAGCACCTGGCACAGTGAGCTGGCTCCCCACTCCCTTGTTACCTCCTCAGTCAGGTCTCACCTCCTTGCTCTCTGGCCTTGGGCAAATCATTTCACCTCTCTGTGCCTCAGTTGTGCCCTCTGTAAAATGGGACCACAAAAGGCATACCTCTCAGCATTACCAGCAGAATTTGATGAGAATGTCTACAGGGCCCAGCCTGAGAGGCACTCTGCATATGTGATCATTCCGTACCCTTACCTGTTCACCCAGAAAGCATTTGTGGAGCACCTCCTATGTGCCACACAAGCGGAGACAGAGTGAACAGGATCCTATCTCAAACAAACCTGATGCTTTTAAAAATGTTTATGAGGGAGTCATGGAAATGTAAACCCAGACTAGGTGACATTGGATACAAATTCAGAAATGGTTCATTTTTTTTTTTCCGATCCATCATAGTTTTGTGGTTACATTTTTCAAAAGAGCCCTCATCTTTTAGAGACCTCAAACTGAAGTGATTACCAATGAAATAATATGATGTTAGGGGTTTGCTTCAAAATAACGCAGTCTGTAAAACTAAAATTATCCCCCCAAATAAGTTTATTGAAAAAAGAAGTCAGTGGTAGAGGGGAGCGTGGGGGACATTGTTGGTAACTTCTAGAAGGACTGCAAGTAGATGGTGTTGAAGGCATTTGTAATAGTCCATAATGAGTTCAACAAAAAAGGGATCCCTAAAGTAAATGGATAATTAGACACCTTGCTGAGCAAGGCCCTGAGGGGGTGGCGAGCGGAGGCAAGCCTGGGTCAAAGGCCACAGTGAGAGTTTGGTCTGGATTCTGAGGGTGCGCTGGCAATGGGTTTTCAGCAGAGGTGGCACCTTTCTCTGGCTCGGCTTTGAGAATAGGCGGTAATGTGTATAAAGAGCTCAGAGAGCTGGGAGGGACTCTGTTCGTTCTTTTCTTTCCCTACCTCTCCCCCTCCCTACCTTTGGCTTTGTCTCCCGCCTCCCCTGCTGTGGGCTGCAGGGATGTGACTGGGGAGGGATCCACACACTGGGGGCGGGAGGCCTGCCAGCCTCCTTTTCTTCTTGCCAACCTTCAGCAAAGTGGGAGGTCCTGCCCGGAAGCTGGAAGCCGCAGCTTCTCAGCTGTGAAGAACCCCAGACCTCATGGGGGGCCCCTGAAGGCAGAGCTGACCCTGGGCTGTGTCCTCACCCATCCATCTGCCCTGTGGGGACGCCGATAACCTTGGTGCTCTGGGCACAGCCTATGCCCAGTGCGATGGACTGAATGTTCGCTCCCCCCATATTCATCTGCTGAAACCTGACGCCAGCGTGACGGGTCTGGGAGGTGGAGCCGCTGGGATGTGATTAGGCTGTGAGGGTGGAGCCCTCTGAATGGGATCGGTGCCCTTATAAGACGCCCCGGAGTGCTCCTTCGACCCTCCTGCCCTGTGAGGATACAGTGAAAAGACAGCCGTCTATTACCCAGGAAGTGGGTTCCCACCAGACACTGAATCCGCGGGCCCCTTGATCTTGGACTTCCAGCCTCCAGAACCATGAAAAATAAACATCTATTTATTTATCATTAGATATGATTAATTCCGTTCTAAGAGCAGAATTAGGCTTAGAGGAGCCGAAACTAAGGCACAGATTAACATTCCCTGGACCACTTCCTCCCCTTTAAGAGCCACGATGCAGCCCACGGTGTATAACTCAGCCCACCCAGAGAGTGCCCGTCCTCCCCGCCCGGCTTCTGAGCCTGGGCCCAGGTCTCCACGGGGGATGGAGCGGAAGGGATGCCCTCCCTGCCCCCAGAGCCGTGGCTCAGGCCCAGCCGGTTCCTGGAGCAGGAAAGGAAGTCCCTCTCCTTCCTGCATTGCTCCAGCTTTCTGACGCAGGGCACCTGGGTCACAGAGGTTTCGCGCCAGAAGACCGAGGTGGTGACTCAACCAGCCGGGCTGGCAGTCGTTAGGAAGGCGAGCGCCCCGGCACTTTCCGAGAGCAGTTTGGCAGGGTGCTCCGGGGGCTTGGAAAGGTCGACACTTTCCTCTCCAGCAATCACACGTCTGGGAATTTTCCCAAAGGAACTAATCCCGGAAAGAAAAGCAAGGCCGCGTGCCCAGGGATATTTGCTGCAGCGACATTTGTCATCGTTGGGCGTGACGCGTCTGTGGAAACCCCTTGGTGGATTGGTGAGTAGGCATTTATAGCAAGGAATTAATTATAAGTGCCCTTTATCAACGTGGAAAATACTTGTGATAGAACGCTCAGCTGAAAACAATGCCTGCACGTGGAGCAGGGAGCGGGCTGGGGGCGGGGGTGACCGATTTTCCCAGCTGGGATGTTGTCACTTTGCTCTAAACCGGCCTGCGAGTGGCGAGGGGGCGGCCCCAGCGCCGCTCCCCAGGGCTCTGCCCGCCAATCCCGCGCCAAGACTGCGGCGCCTGTTACATTTTTAAAAATGAAGACTGACATCTTAAGGCGTGTTCCCTTTCCGGATAATTCTGGAGCTTTCTGGAGGGGAAGAGAGGGATGTGTGGAAAAACCCAGGGGGGCCCTTGAGCCCTCTGGAGGCAGAGCCCCCTGGGGGCCAGGACTTGGTCTTCTTTATGTCAAAAACTGGTGACACACACAGTTATCTTACCTGGAGGCAGGGATGCTTATTTTTTCTAAAAGGTTTTAAAAGGTCTTTATTTTATTGCAAAAGCAATACATGCTTATTGTTTAAAAAAAATAGTACAGAACTGTATCAAAAGAAAGCTCCTGCCTGCCACCCCCTTCTCTTCAGAGGGAGCCACCCTGGGTGGTCTGGGTCCTTTGTTTCTTTTAGATAGTTTCTCCGTATCAAGGCTTTCAAACTTTTTTAAAGCTAGAAGCCACAGTGAACAAAAGGATTTTGCTTCATCACCCAGCATACACGCCCACTGGCATACGACTCAAACTGGTTTCATGCAATGATACTACTACAAATACCATCTGGGGCTTCCTTTTCTATTCTGTCCTGTCCACTTTATTCTGTTTCATTTACAAAAGGAAAGTGGCTGGTCGCCACCCAGTCAAATGGGCACTTGGTGTGGCCTTCTGAGAAACAACTGCTGTAGATATTAACCCACGACAGTCACATTAATTTCGCAGCCCACTTTCCATAACTGGACTTAGAGGGCTGTTTTCTTCCTCAGTCACGGCAGAGGAAATGATGGAGTCGTTTTTCATAATGTATTTGTCCAGCTCCTCTTAATAGCCTCCTGCATTGTCTCCACTCTGGGCTGTCAGCAGCGAGGTTCTGTGGGACGTCCCATCTGTGCAGGGCCACAAGGACATCCGTGAATTCCCAGTGTGGAACGCCCAGGTCAGAAAGCATGCACCCCTCCAACGTCTTGATTGTGCTACACATGGCCCAGGGAGGGGTTCACTGAGGTGTGCTTCTGGAGGCGCAGAAGGACCTTTTGCTCCTCCAAGGGCACCCTACACCCGATGACCATGCAGGACTTCATTTCTGTTCATTGCACAGCCTGCCTGTGATGCTGGGAAATACCGACATGGGTGTTAGAAATGAGATGGGTTCCAGTTCACTTCTGCTTTCTATTCCTCTGCTTCCTCTTTTGTCAGTAACTCGAGAGCTTTGGAGGAGGGGACCCTTCTCAGCCCTGATCCCAAAGCTGTCTCATGCCTCTGACCTTCCTGTCCTGGGCCTTTTATATTGGGCACTGTGGCCACTAAGTTCCCAGGCTTCATGCACATGTGCATACAAGTTGGAATGGGACCCTTTGGCTGCAGTGAATTAAGAAGAGCCCTTTATTTGCAGCCCTATCTTAGGTTCAAATCCTGGTTCTGACACTCGCAAGTGGCCAAACCTTGGGTTTTGGTTGCTTCATTTATAAGGATATAATTCCTATTCTAGGAAAAACAGAAAAAATATGGATAAGCACATAGACTTTAGAGAGAGCCTGTCTGGATTCTGATCTTGGCTTCACACTAACTAGCTCTGTGACCTTGAGCAAGCTCTTTAACTTCTCTGTGTCTCAGTTTCCTCATCTGTAAAATGGGGAGAGTAATAGTGCCTACCTCATAAGGGTCTTGTGAGGATTACCTGAGTTAATACGTGCTAGATTATAGCTAGCTATGTGTTTATTACTGTTATAATTGTTAAGAATGATGGACTGTCATGAAGATTAAACAAGGCAGTGCATTCAAAGGCAGCTCCTACTGCATTTGACTTGTAGGAAATGATCATGATTTTTTTTAACTTACGGTTTTAGAAAGAGGATGTTCTTGGTTCAGAATGTGACAGGTCTAGTAATGAACATTGTGCCTTAGCTCTGACCAGCCAGGGAGGGAGAAGAAATTGTAGCAACCCCTTCCCCAGGGGAGTTTTACAAGTGTTCCTTCCACATTTCAATGTCTCATTTCTGTGGCCTGGCGCAAGAAGGTGTGGAGGGGTGGAGGAAGGCAGCCAGGGAGCTGTGGGTGGGGGGGGGGGCCGCCTCCCTCAGAAGGGTGTGGGGGAGGGGAACAGCGGAGGAACTCTGGGTAACGAGTGCCCTGATGGTATCCCAGGTCGGGACTCAGATCCTGGGCTGGGGGTGGGGGTGCACCCCTCTCTCCCTCCAGACTGCCTTTCATTTATATGCGTGCCAGGCCTGTGCTCGGCATGTGGGACATGTCTGGGAGCAGCACACACAGGGAGCCCTGCCCTCCCAGAGCTGACAGTCTAACTCATGCATCAGCCATGGAATAATAAGCGTAATATCAGTCTTTGGAAGGTACTTAGGTGCTGCAGAAAAGCAGGGCAGGATCCGGATGGGGAGGAGGCTGCAACTTCAGATAGAGTGGTCAGGTGGGCCTGGTTGAGTAGGTGACATTTAAGCCAAGGCTTGAAGGAGGGAATCGAGCCATGTAGATACCTGGGTTACCAGAGGCCCAGGCAGGGGAACAGCCAGTGCAAAGGCCATGAGGCAGGACTTGACCACAATAGCAGGCAAGGTGTGTGGCTGGAGCCGAGTGAGCGAGGTCCAGGGTGTTTGGAGATGAGGGCAGAGAAGAAATGTGGCTTTGATCATAGAGGGCTCTGGAGGCCTAGGGAGGCCCCTGACACCTCTAGATTGTGGGGAAACTTAGGAACTCAGATGGGGGTTGGTGATTTGTGTCATGAGTACATTTTGTTGGGTAAATTAGCTTATCACAGAGCTGTGGCTGCTGCTAGCAGACCACAACTGTGATTCCAGAAACAAATGGGGGTCTGCTCACGGGCCTTATGGTTTTGGTAGAAGGGGGGATTAAAATCAACGGCCACACAACAGTAACAGCTACAAGCCACCAGAGCCTTCCTGTGTGCCCGGCCTGGTGCCCTGTGCTTCCCTTCATGAGTTTCTCTCATTGTCATGCCACACTGGGGATGGCAGGACAGCTGAGAAAACGGGGGTGTCTGGACGGAGGGACTCATGTGCTGGGAGGAGGCCAAGGAGGGGACTTTGGCCCAGGCCTCATGCTAGACTCAAATCATCACCAGTGCTCTGACTGTTTCCTCAAACCAGAGGGGCCTGACTGCCAAACCTCCCCACCCTCAAGCCCCGTACAGACCCTCTGGAGGTTGGGCAATTCCAGGCTTCCCTGGACCCACACGCACAGCCCCTGACCTGCCCTCCTTCGGGCTGGAAGAGAAACCCTCCTTGAGCCAAGTTCTGCAGGCGCCCTAGAGTGATGGACAAGTACTGGTCTTCAGGTTCAAATTCCAGAAAATGAAGAAACAGCCCAGCAGTGGTGCACCTGGGAGAAAACCCCAGACAAGGAATTCCTTCATGAGCCTCATGGGAAGGTGGCATCAGTGTCCAGAGTGGTGTTGCCCTGGGGAAAGTTGGCCAACCAGGGAGGGCAGGAGCTTCAGGCCACACAGAAGTGCATATTTCTGTCTTGTGGCTTGGCGCTGTAGGAGACTGTATTGGCGGGAAAGCTCTGAGGTTCAATAGACTGAAAGACAGGTCTGGGTGATCTAAAAGGCTCTAAGCTTCGAGAAGCTCCCCACAGCATGGTTGCTAAACATGGACCTGGAGCCAGGCAGCCTGGGTTCAAATGCCACTGCTACCATTACTAGCTGTGTGACCCTTGGCAACTTGCTTGACCTTTCTGGGCTTCAGTTGTTACATCTGTAAAGTGGAGATGATAAAACTTTCCTCATCCAGTTGTTGGGAGAGCAGTGCCTCATGCACCTTGTGGCTAGTTGTTAAATAAATACGATTCTGGGATTCATGCTCCACCCCTGGCATCCCCCTCCCTGCCCAGGGCTGTGGAATGGACCTCAGAATGAAACTCCTCTGGGCCATGAAGACATGTGCTTCCTGGAGGCTACAGCAATGAGAAAGAGCCAGTGATGATTACAGAGTCATAGGAACTCATTTATTACTGACTCACTATCTATCTCCCCTGCTCCCAACCAGAACATACAGTCCAGGGGAGCTGGGGCCTTGCCCTTTACTTTGTCCCACTGCTCCTAGCCCTGGAACAGGCTTGGCACCCGGGACACATCAGCCAAGGAAGTGAAAAGGCTGTGGAGGCAGCCTCAGGAGTCAGCCAGACCAGATTCAAATCCCATCTCCAATCACCTTTTTGCTGTGTGACTTGGGGCTTGTTACTTAACCTCTCGAGGCCTCAGTCTCCTCATCTGTAAAACAGCAGGGTGTTTGTAAGGAGAAAATGAGATGATGGATGTAGAAGTGCTTTGCTCAAAGTCTGGTACTTAGTAGGGACTCAACTAGTGTTTCCCATCATCACCGCCACTGCCGCCACCACCGCTCTGTATGGGATCTTATTCTACGTCTCTTGCTGATGGCTGTGGCTGGCGTATGTCTTGTTGCAGAAGCACAGTACACGGCTCATCTGGGTGTTGTTATGAAGGGAGTCAGGCCTCTCATTTTGAGGACACATTTCCATGCAGTTTATGGGGCCCCCAAAGCAGGTAACTGGGTCCTCACTGTGGGCAGGCCAGGAATGGCCCCACCTGCTGCTCTGTGGGCTGCTCCTCCTGGGCCTGGGGAAGACAGAGGTGTGGCCAGTTCTGGAATGGTGTCCCACGCCTCCAGGGGAAAGGCTGGCCCACGTAGTAATGGGGCTAGCAAAGCCCAGCTGGACCTCCCCCGGGTACCGGCTGCAGGTGCCATCTGCTGGGACAAGGACTGGGGACTGCCTGCTGACTTGG